TGCCAGCTCTCCTGGCTTGTTCCTTAGCTCTTTTTTAAAAAAAAAAAATTAAATTCTTTTATTGGTACATTGTAGGTATACAACACAATTACATTTCTCATTGGGAATCGTACCTTTACATAATGCATCTTGGTTCTTATTTTTTCCCCATTCCTAGCCCTCCCTTCACCCCCTCCACCTTTCCCTATTTACAAAGACTTTATTTCCATTTTTTCCATTTCTCAGCATTTTTCCTTTCCGTTCTTTCCTTTCCCCTGCCCCTCCCACTACCCCTACCCCTTTGGACCTTTTCTTCCTATTTTGCGTTATCGATTATTCATTCTAATCATTGGTACATTTTAGGTATACAATATAATGACATTCATCATTGGAAATTTGCACCTTTACATAGTCTCTCTTGGTTCTTATTTTTCACCCTTGCCCAGCCCTCCCTTCAACCCCTCCAGTCCTCCCTATTTACAAAGATTTTGTTCCTATTTTTCCATTTTCTCATATTAATCCCATTCCCTTCTATCCTTTCCCCTACCCCTCCCACTTCCTTCCCCTTTGCCCCTTTTCTTCCTATTTCACATTACCTATTATACATTTAGTCCTTATTTACTCTTTCAGTTTCTCACACCAGAGAAACTATTCAGTATTTATACATGTGTGTCCTATTTATTTCACTTAAGAGTATCACCTCAATGTGCATCCGCTTAGCTCTTTACAAGAGGCAGCTTCTCTGGGTGAGCTAATCCTTGTTCATGTGCCAAACAGGAACTCGAAGCTGGGGGCCTCTTTGTGTGCTGGATAATGATAATTTTAACAATGGTATAATGGGATAAACTGCCTCATTCACCTAAGCCTGAGCAAGGGACATGGACGAGGGAGAAGAAAACCAGCCATGTTGTAAAGGGTGCTGCTTTTTTCTTCTCTTGCTCTCTGAGAAAATGCTTTGGTTCTCACCTTTTATTAAACCCTGACATTCCCAAAAGTATAATGAGGAGAGTGTCCCTTCGTGCATCTATAGACTCTGTCTGGCATCCTTGTTGTCATGGCAGCTTCCACCAGGTCTCCATGATCCCAGAGATCCTGTGTAGCTACGAGGAAGAGCCACACGTCTCACCCGCAGCTCCGACCCATTCTGTGGTCCAGGAGCTGCCATAAATATGCCGGCTTGATGGGTCACAGAGCAAAAATGGCAAATTCCCAGATCACTATTGTCACCAGCATTCCAGAAGACTCTTTCTCTGTGCATTTTAGAGCATGCCATTTTCTATCTGCTTGGAGTATCAGAAGAAAGATGATTTTCCCTGGAAAGCCATGTTGCACATAGAAAACTCAAAAATATGAAAAGTTGCAAGAAAATTTAGGGAACATCAACTTGTTATGAAAGATGAATATAAAATACATTGGAATAAGGTTTATAATTTTTAAAAACACCATTAAAACTTCATGGAAAACATACATTATTCGCGTTCTCCCAATGGCTCCCAGTGCCTATTTTTTTTTTTTTAGAGAAAAATACTTTAAAATAACTAAAGTTCTTGACTAATTAACAAGATAAACCCAGGGTATGGAAGATGGCACCTTTGTGAGTGGGATGAATTAATTTTTAGGTACCACTGGGGCTCAGAACTTTTTGAACTTTTCTATAAATTATAGCATCTGCTACAATTCTGTATCATGCTCACATGGTGGGACTTTTCTCTGAATTGATAAATTAGAACTGGGCTAATTATCTAAAATATCCTTTTAAAGTCTTTAACAAACTATTTCTTAACATATAGGATGTTAAATTATTTTATATAAATCAATGTTTTGTTATATAACATATTAATTGTATTATATACAATTTATAATAAATATTATATTCCATTTTTGTAATGTGTAATAGCAAATAAAATCAAACTTTGCCAACTTTAGTTCAAAAAACAAACTTAGAAAGAAAAGTTTCAAATATCAGATATTTGTAAACTACTGCCATTAAAATGTGGAAGTTAAAAAAAAACTATAAAAAATAATATGGACAAAGCCTAGCCTCTGCTTAAAAATGATGTATCAATTGATAGATGATGGCTAATTTAATTGTGTATAGGCAAAGCTAACTTTATTTTCCTGCTTAACTCCATTGAAAGGAAGGAGCATTTGTATATCATTAAAAACAACAGGCCACAATAACATTGCTACCTTGTGGGGGGAAAAGTAGAATGGCAAAGAGAGTTAGTCCTACATAGGCTGAAGCAAAGGCAGCAGAGCGAAAACTTGCTTTATTTTGGTAGGTTTTCAGTTCATGGGATGTATAGAATGAAAATTAAAATTTTATATTTAGGAAAAATCAAATGACAGAATTGATTTCCTCTGGAAGTGTTTGGAGACTTTTTTTTTTTGGTATGGGTGATCAAACTTGGGACCTTGCCCTTGGGAGGCAGGCGACGGAACCACTGAGCTAAATCCTCGGACCCTAGGAACATTTTTAATAATGACAAAATGGTCCTTTAAGAGATCTGTGATGTGCTTTCCTCCTCAGAGTTATAGGGTTTGCAGCCTCATGGGATAGGGGGTAAGCAGTGGCCCATAAAGTGCCCCAATATTCCTACTGCATTATTGGTTTTACAGAGGTTGGTGGAGAGAGAGTATCCATCCCCCAGGAATGGCCTTACCGGATCTTATCTTGCGCTCCATCAACCCCACCTTTTGGCTGGGTGGGATGCAGTTCCAGAATCTTGCTAACCTCCTCCTCAGCTGGGATCCTGTCTTCACTGTGTCTTGAGCTCTCCCCCGTGAGACCCCTTCTCTGCTGGCACATAGGTGCATCTCCTCCGTCTGATTTGCAGTGTATACTCATGGTTCACAATCCTGGAGCTGCAAGCTCTTCGGTGACCCCTTCCCCAGGAGCCCCAGGAACCACCCTCACCACCCCCACCCCCATTCTGCCACTTCTTTTAGCTCACCAGCATGTCCACCCACGTGATGCCATGCACCGTGTCCCCACATGCATCTCCCTGCACACCTGGCCCATCCCATTTCCTGCTGCTAACAATACCTGGCACACAGAGGGTGCTCTATAAATGTTGTTCCTGCAAATTAGTCATTCACAAGAGACAGCCTGCAGCCTGCATATGAGTTCTAATTTTTATACTATTGGAAAGGGTTTTGAAAATAATAAGTTAGGTATTTCCAATCCATTTCCTTACCATAAATGTTTTTGGCATTTAAGGCAGCTTGAGTTTGGATCATGACATTTATAATTGAAGAACTAATTATCTATATCTTCATAACTCATATGTTACTCAGAAACTGAATTACTTTAAAGCAGTAAATTCAACTCTCTAAATACATCTTTTTCCCCATCCTTGTTGAGTTTCTATGTAGTCTTTTCATGGATGATACATTTTGTTGAGTGGAAATTCTGCTAGGGTTCTATTACACTACTGATTTATGTGTGTGTGTGTGTGTGTGTGTGTGTGTGTGTGATAGGAGGTACAGCTAGAGGGTCACACAGGTTGGAGACAGAGGCACATTCATCAGGGAGGGTCCTCAGAAGGAGTGAGGTCTTCTCTCAGATGGGCCATCCCAACTGCACACTCATCTCCAGATTCTCCACCTCACACATCCCACACACTGCAGGAAGGGACTTCTCATCCTTTGTCCCTTGTTTTTGAGTGAGCTGATACAGACACAATGGTGTGTGCCAACTCACAGGGCAGGCTTTGCTATGTGCAAAAGCCCCTTTACTCCAGTATTTTAACACAATGCTCTACATCATAATGTCAACAGCAACCACAATTATTCTTGGTTAAATGAGGTGCTGTTGACAGATCTGGATGCGTTTGTGTAATGTCAGGTTAACACAGGCAAAAACCTCCAAAGTCTGCTTAATACACCCATCTTCTAGATCTAGATCTCCTCCAAATAATGGTTGAATATTCACTCTTTCATGACTTTGTGACTTACTTTTTACATTTCTGTTAGTCATCACACCTTGTCATTTGTGACAATTTTTAACTGGAAAAATGATATCTAAAGTACTGGGGAAATTTACTATGGAGGAAACATGGTGCTGCTTGTAAGCGCGAACTATTCTATTATTAGCCAAAAGTCATTTTTAGAAAAAAATACAAAGCATTTTATTTTACGTACTTTTAAATCTAGTCATTCTTTACTGCAAACCACCAGCACGTTCAACTTATGTTTCTAAGGAAAGCATGCCTACCTGTTTTCTCATCCTTCCTGTTACTGTCCATTAAAATGTGCTAAATATATCCAGTAGGATAAAAAGGTAGAAATTTCTGGGAACTACTGATTAGCAACCTGCTTTTGGGGGGATCAATAGCTTCATTTTTCTTTTCCTCTTTTCTTTTAAAAATACTGATCTAGTCATCTAGTGAAAGACTGCTGGTGAACAAACATATTTCAGAGGACTTCATTAAACCAAGTAATAGGATTAGTGCTTAAATGATTAAGAAGGTATATAAGCTTTTAGAAAAAGAAAATCTAATTAAGATGGTGCTCCTACAATTCAAGACACTAGTAATTAACCATATTGTGATAGGTCCTATTAGAGGGCTAAGCAAATATGAGGCAGTATTTTTTGGAGTCAGTATGATTTTTTAGAGTCAGTTGTATACAATGCAACACTTTGGTGAGCATTGCAGGTTGTAAATATTCAGGATGTCCTGCTTATTTAATATGAACTGCGGTAAAGTCATGTTATTGTGCTCATTTTTATCTTTGCAGAAACTCTCTGTACTGTTTCAGAGGTTAGAGAGCAAGCTGTAACTCCTGAAACTTGCCTTCCTGGTGACAAGCTGATTTTCATCTCAGTAAATAAGTCACGGTCACATTTGCCAACCAGCCTAAGGCACACAGAGAACCACTGCGTAGTTCTATGGGACAGCCCTGCAGGGTGTTCTTACAGGCACTTTGACATCTGCCCACAGCATGCGAAAACTTACCCCACTCACACTGTGTTGGAAAAATTACACGTGCAGCAAAAAGTTTGATAAAAATATATTTAAAATAAGCAAGAAAAAATAGTTTTGGCCTTAAGGATAACTGTCATCATTGTTTCCACCAAGTAGAGTTAACTTATATATACAATGATTTCAAGTACGAACTTATAAAAGATGTGACAAATCAGAAAAACAAAGAACAAGAGGACTCTTTTTTTCAGAAAAATGTATTTGCAATTCAAATGTTCATATAAAAAGCATAAATTGTAAAAAGTTCATAGATGTATGTTTTGTAGAAGTGCTATGGTTTCACCCTTCATTGCAATTACATTCCAAAATGTGCAGGGTGGTCCACACGGTGTCACTGCGTACGTCTGTCACACGGAAGTCACTCTCATCACGACCTCCCCAGAGCTGTTATCTTCAGACAAATCTTCATGGGGTCTTATCCGATTGAACAGGTGGAATAGCACATAGCCACACTGAAACCTTGGGGAGGTCAGCTGCGTTGGGTGGACCAAGTTTCTGTTCCGCAGAGCCGTCAAAGGCAACCATAAAGTCCTACTCGTGGAAGATTCTCCCCGGCTACTTTCTTCGATGTCTGTTGCTTTGTCGTAATTTAATACATCCCAGTGCAGGTTAACAGCTCGCCAGCGCTTAAACACTCTGTAAACTGCAGCTCCTTCATGGACAATGAGACCTAAAGTTCAAGTGAAAGAAAGATTGGTGACAATCAAAAGGTAGGAAAGTTGTTCTGCAGACAAGTAAGGGATTCAGGAAATAATCAATTCCTTAGTATTTCTCTCCGTCAAAGAATAGAGAACTCTGATTACTCAACTACAGATACCACACAGAATGAATATTCAGAGAGGAAGAGTAAGAATTCACTGACATACAGGGAGTTAAGCTGTCATGGATATAATTTACTTAATCCGTCGTGGCTCAGAATATGATTTGGGCATTTATGTTGCTTTGGGGGAATCATTTGGTTCATTTATTAATTCAACATTGTGCCTGCTGTGTGTCAAGCAATGTGCTAAGGGCTGGGCCCGGTTAACAATTTAATTGGGAGATACTGAGGTCAGTACCGTCTCCCCAGTTCGGAAAATAATGCCTGGCACATGGTAGGCAGGATATAACTGTTTCTTATTTGTATTTTTCTCAACTATGCAAGAAAAATTTATGTGAATAACTACTTAAGAGCTTTGTGTACATTATTTCATTTAGTTCTCACAATGTCCTTATGAGGTAAAATACTTGCATTTCTCTCATTTTACCAACAAATGAAACAAAGGCACAGGAATCTTAAGAAAACCGCTCATAAACAACTAGAGCAAACAACCAGAAGTGATGGGACTGGAAGTCCCACCGAGGCAGGTTGGTTCTGGAGTCCTTGCTTTTGGCTGCTATGAGACAGACTCTCAGGAAAATAAAGTAATGTGAAAAACTCGAGGCCCATACGCCGGGCAGGCCATAACCTGGCTATGGCACCCTACTGTCCACTCCCCAGCCAGAGTCCCACCTCCATTTTCATACGTTTACATTTCAGCATATAGTCCAAAAGTTTTTGAATTTGTAACCCCTCACAGAAAATGGGGACCCCCAAAGAGAGATCCATTCAGAGAATCAAGGAAAAACACTTTTCTCTTTGGGGAGGCTGAAATTCCAATAAAAAGCAGTGGAGAGGCTAATGAAGAGTGAAGGGTTCTGAGCATGATTTTATTGAGGACATTATTTCAGCTTTCGTCAGCTAAACAATGTCAAGTGGCTGATGGAGAGTTCAGTGCTTGAAAAACAATCATAATTTTACCTACTTAATGTCAAGAATTTAAGTTTTGCATTGCTCCCTTATCAGGAGATAAAAATCTGATAGGTGTGACTTAGAAGATTCTAAAACTTGAACGTAAGTCCACTAAAAAAATGCAAGTGATCCAATAAGTAAAAGTGGCCATAAGATATGTTTTGTATACTACCAAAATAATGAGAAGCAATGTAAACTTCATAAAGGTGCAAATTTCCAATGATGAATGTCATTATATTGTATACCTTAAATGTACAAATAAAATTCATTTTAAAACAAGAAATGTAAACTTCAGTTGATCATAACAACTTCAAAAAATTGCTCTGACCACCTTCCTTTTCCAAAGACATAATCAAAGCTGACCAGATGATTTTGGGAAATAGAATTACAAGTCAAAACTAATGGATTTTAATTGGTGATTCTATTATTAGATTCCTGAATTCTCCATGGCTGCAAATTTAACCTTTCTGGCTCACTTGTTCCTCCTTAGCATGCAACTGAAATACTTAATTTTTACATTCAGCAGGATTTGATGAAGATAAATTGGAATTCATCCACTATAACACACTCAGATTTCCTGACAAGGTAAGCATATAAAGTGGGGACATTATTATTAATTAAAAATCAATACTGAATCTGTGTGGTGAAGAAGAAATCACAAAATAATTATAGCCTGAGACAAGTTTGTCCTGCATGGGTAGGGGTGTGGCTTCATCAAGGTTACTCATTTCACAGGATCCTAGTGCTTTTTATCGATTTCCTTTGAAGGGCAAAAAATCAGATCATTTTCTAGAGTTTAAAGTCACTTTCCAGGAATATAGTCCTGGTATCTCTTTTCTAAATACATAAATCGACCCAATGTGCAGAAGCAAATGCCAGAGGTCCTTTTAGCACATTTTGAATGAAATTTAAAGGGAGAAAACTACTTAAAATTCTCAGAGACACGGTCCTCTTAAAGTTGCAACTCCGTGGGCTACTTGTTAATTGCATTAACTTATGGGTGATGTTTAGATTTTGTTTTATTGCCTATGAGCAGTCAGAATTACTCCTTGTCCTCTGGAAGCTTAAATTTCCCTGAAACATAAGGAACTCCATCCCAAGCCTCAAGGATATTCTCTGTACTGTGTATTTTTTTCTTTCCCCTTTAAATAGTCCAGAATTGTAGCAAATGCTTTGATATTAGTGGTTATGAGAAGAAATGGCCACTATGATTTTTAGATCCACAAGTAAGAATTTATTCACACATAGTGCAATGCATTGAAAAGCCAACCTTGAAGCACTGCAGAGTTTGCTTTCTTACCTATGATCAAATGAATTTGTCGCCTTGACACTTCAGGTCATATGAGAAAAGACTTGGATTTACTTTTTTATCTGACTCACTAAGACTGCAGGGAAAAGCAATGTCAATTTCTATAAAATGTAAATATAAAGTGTTTTAGGATACAGTCTACAGAGAATGGCATGAGTGTTAAGTTCTGATTTAGGGGAATTTGGGGTTTTGAGAATTGAGAAATATTTGTGTGTGTGGGAATGTGTGTGTGTGGTTAGTTGGTTTTGTTATTTTTTTTGTCAGCAACATTTAATTGTAACACATCGCTGTTGTTATACAAAGAAAAAACATTTTTTGTTAGGTAATAATAATCCTGAAAAACAAAGGCTTGGTTTCTGGTTTCACTGGAATAAAAATATTCTGGTATAAGTAAAATATATTCCAAATTTTGAAGTGACATGTGAGTTGAAATTCCTTGTGGTAGCAGAATCTTAGCTAATTACCCCAAAATGAGGGGGGAGATTATCAAGGTACAGTTGGTCTCTGCTCACAGGCTTGGGCACACACACATAAACCATCTGTTTATGTCTACTTCAACCTCAGAAATGTTATAACTGATGAAGACTTGTAAAATTTATGGTCAAAGACCAATTTTATCTACTACCAAATCACTGGCCAAGCAATGTCATTTCTTGTCTTAACAATCTCCATTTATAAGCTAAATTTTTTATTAAGGGTCTTTTTTGTGCTAAGCATTGTCCTAAGAGTTTTACAGGCATGATTTTCACTTAAACTTGATAACAATTCTAAAAAGAGGCACTACTGTGGAACAATCTGACAGCAGAGGAGACGGAGACCTAGAGATTCTTAACAATTTGTTCAGCGTCACAAAAATGTAAAATTCAGAGTTGAGATTGAACGCCAACTTTGTCTAAATGTAAAGTTTGAGTCCCATCCATGCCCCATTTCTAGCATATGGCAGGCTCTTTTAATTGTAGAACAGTTTATTAAAAGACCTCACTATAGACTAAATATTGGTGTCCCTTCCCTTAAATTCCTACATCACAACCTTAATCTCCAGTGAGGCAGTGTTTGGAGGAGGGGCCTTCCAGAGGGAAGAAGGGTTAAATAAGTTCCTAAGGGTGAGGCCTTCATGGTGGGATAAATGACTTTACAGAAAGAAGAGAGACAAAATCCCCCTCCCTCCATGTGTACGTTGGGCGGGGGGGCACAAGGCAAGGCAATGTAAGGAAATAATAAGAAGACAATTGTCTGAAAACCAGGAGCAATGTCCTTCCCAGACACTAAATATCCCATCACCTTGAGTCCCAGGCTCCAGCACCATGATAAATATATATTTACTGTTTAAGCCACCCACATGGTAGCATTTTGTTATAGCAACCCAGACTGACCACAGCAGACCTGGAAGATGAAATGCACCAACCTTGTTTCAAACATGAGGAAATCTGTCTTGGAGGCTGTGGTTTAGTAAAGTTAAAAGGAAGATCAAAATATACTGTAAATGTTTAGAGAATTCTTTACAATAAAAGACTCATTGTAATTAATGCCCACTGAAATACCTCAAAATATTTCTTCTCACTTTGAACACATGTATTCCATCATGTTTGCCATTTTCTGAAGCATTTCTGGAAGTCCTCTTTCATGTATTTATGGGGAAAGTGTGATTAAAAACAAAAAACATGGTGAATACTGCTGCTGAATGTCATGCAATGGAAAGGCAGGCTTGTAAGGACATCATGGTGCATCCCCATCCACCTAGTTCACTGAATTTGGCACTGGGCAACTTCTGGCTCTTCCCTAGAGTCAAAATGACCAACAAAGGTAAATGTTTTTAACAAATTCAAGATACTGAGGCAGCTACAACAGGGCAACTAACAACATTCATAAAAGAGGACTTCTAGAAATGCTTCAGAAAGTGTCAAGAACAATGGGATCAGTGTGTTCATAGAAAGTGATTAATTTCAATGTGTCTTTACTGTTAAAAATTTTTTAGAAATTTAAACAATCACTATATTTGATCATATCTCATTATGTTGTTATTAAATCATTACTTATTTAATATAAATTCTTAGAATGTTCAAATACTCTCACTATGCACATTGCCTACAAAGACCATAGTGCAGAAATTTAGATGTTGAATAAAATTTAGATAGTGTATAGAATTTAGACATTGTATAGAAAACCTGGTCAAGATCTTAATGACTTTCAAGCGTTAATACTTGGTCTGCTGCTGCTATGACAAAACAGAAGAGCAGGTAGCTTTCAAGTATGTCTATTTCCTTTCACTCTAACATCCAGGGTTTGGTGACATACCAAAGCGGAAGAATAGTCTGTGGTCAGGGAACGAGGGTACAGTACCCTTGCTTAGAACTCAGTGGGATTCTCTCACTGTTCTTCTTCTTGAAGCTTGGTGCTATACAGGGACACATCTTAATGTTTCTAGTAGCCTTTCCATCTAATGGATGGTACTCGGCAGCAGCATTCAATAGCTGCCTTATCAGACAATCAGACTTCTCAGTACTTCACGTTCTGCCTTCAAATAAAGCTCCAGGGGAGGGTGAGAGTGATGGCTGTTTCTTCCACACCCTAAAGATCTGACAGTGTCAGT